AGAGAGAGAGAGAGAGAGAGAGAGAGAGAGAGAGAGAGAGAGAGAGAAAATGAGTGAGTGAGTGAGTGAGAATGAAAGGGGTGGACAGAAAGAGAAAGACAGAGAGAGAAAGACAGAGAGTGGAAGCAGTGGAGAATAGGCAAGAGAGACGGGGAGTTCACATAGTAATAATAAATGGAATACTTAGATAAAGGCTCCAGGTTCCATAAATCTTTTTAAAGTATTATCTCAAAAGCCATTTCCTCAGTCATTTCCCTTCATCTCCAGCCCTTGCTCCTTGAATCTCATTAACCGATCGTTTGGCTTTAAAAAGTATTTTTTATAACACCTCATCACCTCACAAGTAAAATGTTTAAGACTTAAAAGAAACATTGATTTTTAAAGTAAAACACTCAGTCACAATAATAGAGGAGTCCTCATTTATGAAATTGGTAACAACAACCCGAAATAACTGCTTGAGTAAGGGAAACAATTACCTAAAAAAGTATTGTCAAACAACGGTAAACAGACAAACAGAAAAGCCGCTTTAATAAGTGAAAGACAAATCTAGCAAAACTTTTAAATTGAGAAATATTAAGAAATGTTTCAAACCTTAGTAAGCCCTTAGACCGCACATTTTTCAAAATGAACAAAATGACAGTTAGAAAAGATTCTAAGTAAAACCATAATAAAATGTAATTGTTAATACACAGACTATATAAACGAATCGAGATACTTGTTAAACGTACAAGACATGTTAGGTGGCCCCTTGTCCCTTCTCTTCACGCCTGTGCTCGACACTTTGGCGGCATTCTGCTATTCCTTTAAAATGGGTGATTGTTTAAAAATGTCAGTGAATAAAAAATCAATCAACAAAAATCGAATAACTAGACCTAAAGGTCATAGTTATCATTTAAAGATAATAGCCAAAGATTGTAACTTGTTTGTTACTATATATACATAGCGAATGCCATGGTCGAAAGATGACACCAAGGAATTACCTAATTCTTCATAAATGTAAAATAAATATCAAATAGTAAACACATATGCGGCAAGTATCGAATCTTTCATCTTAAACAGCGATAACTATAACCATACAATGATAAAGATGTTGAAAGTTCCAAGTTAATATCGATTAGTTATTAAAGTTGAGGATGTGTCTTAGCTTTAAAAAATAAAGACCGGATGGTATCGAGTAATAACAGATAGGACTGTATCTAATATTGATCAGGGAAAATACCGAATAATAACAAGGTTAGACAGGTCTGTGCTAATTGCAAATAGGTATCGAATAATAATGTACTAGTGAGAGAGAGGTTTCGATAAGAAAGGCATCGATTATAGACGTTGCTGGTGTGCATCAAATAAACGGGCCAAGCGAATTATCGAACAATCTCATGACAGGGGAGACTATAGACTATAGTCCAGGCTGGGATTTATCAATGGCATTGGGAACCAAGTAGGTATCGAATAATGATACCCAGTGATGTATCGAATACGGAACGGTCTGGGGGTATCGATTATTTTCTGGGCTGGCGAGGTATCGAATATTCAACAGGGATTGACGGCATCGAACAATGACAGGGGTTAGGGGTTAGGGGTTAGGGGGGTTTTTTTAGTGTTCCCGATGGCTTTACCTTCAATAGCTGTAGGAAAATGATAAGAGGAGAAATACTAAATACACACACACACACACACACACCTGCCCACAAAAAGGACAAATCGAGAAAGAGTGTGTGTGTGTGTGTGTGAGAGAGAGAGAGA